CCAGATAACGAGTTTTTTGGACCTCGACGTCAGGGCAGCCAGGTCGTTTCCTGCATCGACATCTTGCCCTTCGGGCACATCCCAAAGATCTACACCCGGGCCGGCCGCGCCGATCCACATCACGCCATGAGGCTCTGCGCGGAAAGCCGGCGAGTCCTCGTCGGGGAGCTGCTCCGTAACACCCAAGTGAATGTGGCCACAATGCCGGAGCTTTGGACGCAAGCCGCTGGATCCCACCATGTCTCGACCCTTGACATCCCAGACACTGTAGTAGCCGCACTCGTCTATGATGGCCAGCTGAGGCGGCTTTTTCTGCGAGCCATAGCTGAAAGACACATCAGAATGCGCAAAGCCTCCAGTCTGCTCCGAGGAGATGGTGAGGACGGGTCTCGGGTTGATTCGAGATGGGCGCTCGATAGCCTGGTCAATCCCCGACGGGCGTTCTGAAACAGGAATTTTGTGGTAATCCGGCTGAAGAATGGTAGTCGAAGTCCGCTTCTGCACCAGCAGCCACCTCGTGGGTTCGAACCGGACCAAGCTCAGCGCAGGCTTGATCTGCAGAATCGGGGCTCCATCGCTCGACCACAAGACAGATTCTTCCTTGTCGTGCTGGTCGATGCTCAACATCCGAAGCGTTGGGCTCTCGTTCTCGCCCCATCGCCAGTTTGTCTCCTCAATCTTGGACAGACGGAGGAGCTCACCCGACTCGCCGGCAGCCGTGGCCAGTACGGGGACGGGCACGACCCGCGTGTGATTGGTGACATCTGCCATCTGACTGATTGTCATAAGTGGCTGAGTCGTCGGCGCGGCATCAGGCCGCATGAGCTGAGCGAGTCCTTCGTACAGAAAGCTGGAAGCTTCGGAGCTGCCCGCGAAAGCCTCTGGGTGAGCGTTGAAGAGCCATCGTCTTTGCACTCGCTGGGAGCCCCAAAGTGTTGAAGAAGGCGCCAGCTCCGTAGAGCGAGAGGCAGGGTAAAGGGTCTCAGGAGCCTGTATGATACGAAGAGCTTGGGCTATCGGAAGGTCAGCAAATGTGAGAAGCTATATCCGGCCCGATGCACCCGCTCACCTTGACCTGGCACCCGGCTCATATGCAGTTGAGGTGGTCCATCTTCAATTCCTTCATGAGGAATAATCGTGATTTTTGGGGGGCCATATAAGCGGCTTGTCTCTTCCCGTGCGTCAGCCATTAGGCCCGTTCGTTTCCCGTAAGTCTAAGTAGTGTATTCGTGGGAAACTGGGCATATCGTGAGAGAGCGGTGGGGTGTGCTTCATCATGCGAAGAAAGATGGAAAAGCCTGGCGGGCTATGAACGATCCGTGGTCATGCGTGGACGGGTGCCTAGCTAGTAGTATGGAAACAACAACAATGAGGTACGCAGCTGTCAGAAAACATGAGCTGACTGTTGCAGCAAATTCGAGGTCATGACGATAAAGCAAAGAGTGAGACAGCGACGGAAGACTGAACGGACTAAGAAAGGTGAAAAAGTTCGGTCAGTCGCGGCTTCATACAAAAAAAAGATGGGCCCCATTTCCGGTAGTTGCCCACTTTAGCCCAGTCAACCCCTGCCATTAGTTCGCCCGGCGCGTCGGGGCCACTCTTCAGACGCGTTTTCCTAATAGGCAACTTCGGCCCCTGCCGACTCTCTACTCCGTCCGACTAAGACATCCACCTCGAGCACCTCACAGGCTGCCGTTATTCACTAAAGTTGATTGGCCCCGCTCCCGTCAAACAAAGCGACGTCCATTCAATAACCTTCATCTCACTCATACAATCTCGCAATCAGCAATAAACACCATACGGAAATGCCCGCCGACGACCGAAGCGGGAAGCAGGCCGCGGCCCAACAGGCTGTCGACATCTTGCATGAGATCTCTACCATCCTCGTCAGTTGCGACGCCCACCTACTACCATCCTCTCAAAATCCCACTCCATGCTAACGTGACCATGTGAAAAAGAACTGCCACCTGGACCGCCGCACCCTGTCGATCTGCATCTCCATGATCGAGAATGGCGTGAACCCAGAGGCTCTTGCCGTAAGAATAATACTTTATCCATCGAGCTCAAAGTAGACATGACACTGACTAGACTATCGCAATAGACCGTTGTGAAGGAGCTTAGAAAGGAATCCCAGGAGGTCGACGCCCAAATTGCATCGCGGAGGCGTCAATAAGCGTTTGTCTCGAGATTGCAGAGTCTGCTATGAAAATTATGACAAAGGGCAAGAAGGATGGGGATTCATGGACAATAGGCGTTTCAGGTCAGGCATTTTGCGTTGCTTGTCATTCTTAGTTTTTGTCTATTATGGAAACGTAAATAAGGCCCAGTTTCCGAGGGCTATGAGAAAGAACCCAGCAGTGCCATCCGAGGCTGACAAACTCTGCTATCCTAAAAACGCCGACTAACCCTTACCCAACCAGTTAGTAATATGCCCACGATGACCTTGACGACCCATATGTCCAAACCATGCGACCATCGCAAAAACCCAGTGCGCCAATCTTATATCCGTCTCTTGCAGATGCACCTCATCGTTGAAATCATGATTGCATCGTAGCCGAGGTTACCGATGTCCGATGAGCATGATCTCGTTCTCATAGTCATCATCATCGTCATCGTCCTCTCCCTCCGACTCTTCTTCGTCCATGTCTGTCGACATGGTGTCGCTGTCCGAGTCACCATGACCCCGTCCCCATAAGTTGAGAATGTCATTCTCTGATTCGTCTTCTTCTTCCTCGATGGCAGCATTTGGTGCGTTTGGTGGTGGCATACCAGGTGTGACTGCTGGCGAGGCTGACCTGGCAAAGCGATCCAACATTAGATGACGTGCCTCGGGACCAGCATGAGACGAATGTCGTCGCCTGCCGACCTGCGGTATGTCCATTCCTGCCGGAGCAGCCGCTGCTTGTGTCGTTACGGGGGTAGGAAGCGCAGGAGATAGAAGAGCCGGCGTGACTGCTGCCGGCGTGACGGGCACGTGATTGGCGTGTGTCGCGTGCGTCTCTTCTCTTCCGCCGCTGATCTGAATTTCTACCGTGTTGTAAGAAGTGCAAATCGCGCACTTTAGACCGAGCCAGTGGTAAGGGACGGAACTCTTCCCGCTACAGTCGTTACACAAGATTGTGGCGCGGGTGTCCCTGAATTCAGGGGGCATTGGCTGAGCAAGTATAGCCAGCTCTAATTGGCGGAATTGGCTCTGCATGTTGAGCAAACTCTTGTTGCAAATGGGACATTTGTATGATCTCAGCATGTGCTCGTCGTAGCACTTCTGATGAATGCTGTGACCACACCCCATAAACACGACTGGCTTGGGAGATGTAAACATGTACTCTCCGCAAATAGGACAGTCACAATCCGTTGAGCGTTCGATACATTTGTGTGACTGTTGAATAGATATCGAGATGCATGCGCAACATTTCTAAAACCACGTGTTAGCGGCCGTCCAAGAAACACTCTGGCTTCAGATCATTCAATTACCTTGCAATGGAAGAAGTCCTTCCCGATGCCTCTTCCTCGTCGGCAAATACCGCAGTCGTTACAATGGTAAATGGGATTGGATGGATGGTCATCCCACAGTTTGCACATGTTGCAGTAGTAACGGGCTGCAGTCTCCCCGCAGTTCACGCAAACGTCTGATGCTTTCTGGGGCGTGGCGCAAAGCATGCAGAGCATATTCTTGGTTTCCTTCCTGACAAGAGTGTGATCCTCGACTGCGTCATGGCAAAAACGACAAGTATACCACTTGGCGCAAGTCGAGCACTGCAGCTTGACATTGCGGCGGTAATGTTGGCAGCCAAGAATCACAGCACCCTCGGGTTCTTCTCTTGTAGCAAGCTTTGCGGCCGCGTAGGTGGGCCGAACATCGTCGGCGGTCAGGATAAACTTTTCTGGCGAGGACGGCTCCCCTATCGCATGTTGCCAAAACTTTAACGACTCGAGAGGTGCAATCGGGACTGACTGTTCCCATGCTTCCCCTGCTGCTATCACGCTGGCTGCCGGCGCATTACCTTGGCGGGGAGCGTCTCGAGACTTGCGGTAACCCTCCATCAAAGCCTCATGCATGAGCCGGGCCTTCTCGTCTGCTGCGATATCTTGTGACTGAATGTCGAGTAGACGCTTTCGCATCGCACCCATGCCATCGTCGGCGGGTAGAGATTCCCGTGTTGTAGGTGGCATCGCGGCCATCGTGTATGATGGGGGGCTCTGAACTAGGGGAGCCGAAGACTGAGGCTGCTCGTCGTCGACTGTCGGCGGTAGTGTCGCAATATCGAGTGATCGTGCCGGAATGGATTCGGGTGGCGCAACAATCGCATGCCGAGTTGCGGGACTATTCACGTCGCTCGGGACGGCGACAGGGTCGGACGAAGAGTCCCGTTCGGAGACAAAGGTTGATCTCGAGATCTCTGAAAAGCGTCGAGCTTGTCGGAGGACCGGGTTGATGAGGAAGTCGGACACCAGAGACGACATTGAGAGGTAGGAGGTATCGGCGGAGATGTGAGTCGGGGGACCGAGCCGGATTTGTAGAAAGTAACGCGCAGCAGGGGAGGTCTGCTACATCCAGGGCGACAAGATCGAGAGGAGGGGAGGCGAGGATTGGATGGTCGGGGCACCGCGGGAAGGATATTTGAAGTAGCGGTGGTAATGGTGGTCGGAGTGGTGGTGGTGGTTGTAGTAGTGTGGTGGTGGTCGGTGGTGCTAGATGTGGTACGGGACCGGACGATTGGATGCAGGAGCGATGACATAAGACGGGCGAGACCCCTAATGCAATCCGCTCTTTCTCGTCGGCGGCGTCGGCGGAGACGGTTCAGATCCAGAATGGTGGACGCAGTGGGGGTTTTCTTTTGGAAAGAGAAACCTGAGGCTTGATTTGAGTCCAGATCAGGTGTCAGAGAGTCTCTGGGACATGTACATTTGCACCGCAATGGGGCGATTGTTAGCAATGATTGTCTGTGCCGACAATGTGTTATGGATCAGACCGGGACCAGCCAAGGAGGGGGGAAACACTACGGAGTGGACGAGAGAGTAGGGACGAAAAAAGACATGTGATGCAGCTGTCTGGCGTTTCCGCATGCGGGCTTCAGCATGCTGCAGAGCGAGAGAGAGGCTTGACTCGGCGGGGCAGATGGGCCGCGCCCAGGCGATGGTGACTTAGATTGGTGACTGGACCAGCGTCTGAGGTGAACCGGGAGAGAGAGAGAGTGTGTGTGGGCAGAAGCAGTGACCCCCTTTTCTTTTTCCCCCTTCTCTGAAGAAACAACCGCGATGGCGGACTCCCGGCGACAAATCAGGTCTTCCCGGCCTTTACTTCTTTGGGTGAGAAGTATGTAGGCAAGCAGGTGACTGATGCCAGTAAAGGCTTTGCGCTCCGTCAAACAGGACAGAAGAAGTAACAAGCACTTTCTCGTTCGGTTGTGGCGGCCGGTGAGAGTACTCCTTCGTCCCGTGCAACTATGCTCTCCGGAGGCTGCTCTACCTCGCTGGAGAAGCACCGCATCTGCGGGCAATCTACACGGCGCAGGCCTCCACCACCGTCGACTTGCCCGAATCGCCGAGATCGAGTCCACACGGCGGCCGATGGTCTCCTTCTCTGGGCCGATGGGATTGAATGGACGATGCGCACTGGCATTTCCGGTTAGCTCCGAAAGCGGGGGCTTATTGCGCGGCCCGGAAGGGTTAGCGCAGTCAGAAACCACGGCTGAGCCACAGCTGTCATGAAGACAGAACATTGAGCGGTTTGCATCTTTCGTAGCTGTGGCCTATGTGTTTGTCCATGGAAGAAATAAAGTTGACAAGTGTCGTGTCGTCTGGTCTTTGCTATGGCGCTAGGATAGTAATTGTGGAAGAAACTGAACGCCTCATAAGGTGGCTGCAGGCGCGTCCAAGCTGGATTGCTCTCGATGCTTTGGATGCCAGGCTGAAGAAGATGATGCTGCTCTATATCCCGTGTGGAAGGTAAGGTGTAAATAAGGTATGATTGTGAATGGTAGCTTGCAGGGAATTTGAGAATAGGTATGATGTATCCGTAGTCTTGAATGTCACGATGTCGGAACCGAATATAGGCAGACGTACGTAGTAATGTGAATGCAAGGAGTGGGATTCCAGGTTCCATCGACATTGACATTGATCGTCGAGAGCGAGAGCCGCGTGGGGATCCCATCTGTCGGACCTCAGGGGTAGGCAGCTGTAAGGTAAGGTAGCCTGTGGGGGCAGGGGGTAACAGAGGGGCTATTTGGGGTCCTTCCCGGGCCATTCAGGCCATTCCATCGAGAGGACCTGCGCGGCCTGCCCAAGGTATGCGGCGTAAGAAATCCGCTTTGAGGCCACTTAAGGCCGCTTGAGGACAGCTGAGCCAATAGATCACGGCCATCGAACCCAGCTTGCTAGGGACGAGATTCGCGTAAAGTGTGGTCGGAGTGGAAAGGGAGGGATACCGTGTCTGTTGGTGCATAGGTGGCATTTATTTCGTGTTGCCGCAAGGGGGTTCCAAAGGGTCGAAGGGTGCTCTCTCCTACCCAGAATCCCAGCTCCCAGCTCCTCCCGATTTAGTTCAGACCTCACCAAAAAATTCCCACCTGGCCAAAGGGCACCTCCATATTAATTGCATGATTCCCTGGTAATTCTGGGTGCCTTTTCTCAGCTTTCCCTTTCTCTCTTCTTCCCCCCCAGCTGACTGACCTCACCTTCTTTTTCATGAGCTGGTTTGGTTTGCGGAACACCTGTGCCTCAAGAGAAACCCGCTGATTCTCTTTTTGCGCGGCTTCTCTTTACCTTCTTCAATTCTCCCACTTTTCTTGCTCCCGGGCATTTTTTTTTTGAGTCTTGACTCGTCCGATCACTAACCAGGAGCTCAGAGCTCCTGTTCCTGGAGCTTGACTTCCACTCTTCCTGCGCACACCCCCTTGAAGCCTGCCTTCATCAACGCATTCGGCCATCCCATTTCGAGAGTCAGTCTCTACTCCCGTCCAACCCATTCCATACGCCGCCTTTCCGTTTGCTGACTGGTCTCACCAACAGCCATGGCTACCGAAAAGCCCATTGTCGCGTCCGGCGCGGACGTGGGCGATGGCGTCAGACGACGAGCCGTCCCCCAGGGCCAGTCCGTCCCCATAACGGCTGCCCCTGAAATCGACGACAAGAAGCAGCTTGTCAAGAAGGTAAGCGCCTCCCTCTACACTATCACTAGCTTTTGTGCACCTATTCGGGGACTGACGTTCATCTTTTTCCTCAGCAGAGCTCTTTCCTCGATCAATGGGAGCCCATCATCGCCCCCATCATCTTCACGGCCGTCGCCATCTTCACACGACTCTGGAGGATTGGCATCAGCGACATCGTCACCTGGGACGAGGCCCACTTTGGAAAGTTCGGATCTCACTACATCAAGCATGAATACTACTTCGACGTTCACCCGCCTTTGGGCAAGATGCTCGTTGGCCTCTCCGGTGTTCTCGCTGGCTACAACGGATCTTTCGAGTTCAAGTCTGGAGAAAAATACCCCGAGGATGTCGACTACACCTTCATGAGAGCTTTCAACGCCCTCTTCGGTATTCTCTGCATCCCCATGGCCTACTATACTGCCCGCGAGCTGAACCTCAGACGTCCCGCTGTCTGGCTTGTTACCCTCATGGTCCTTTGCGAGAACTCGTACACCACCATCAGCCGCTTCATCCTTCTCGACTCGATGCTGCTCTTCGGAACTGTTGCGACTGTTCTCTGCTGGGCCAAGTTCCATAACCAGCGCAACGATGCTTTCGAGCCCGAGTGGTTCTTCTGGCTGTTCATGACTGGTCTCAGCATTGGCTGCGTATGCAGTGTCAAGCTCGTCGGTCTCTTCGTCACCTCCCTCGTCGGCCTGTACACCATTGAGGATCTCTGGACCAAGTTCGGCAACACCAAGATGCCCGTCACCACACTGGGCGCCCACGTTGTCACCCGCGTCGTTGGCCTCATTATCGTTCCGTTCCTGGTCTACATGCTCTCTTTCGCCCTCCACTTTGCCATTCTGGACCACACTGGTCCCGGTGATGCGCAAATGAGCTCTTTATTCCAGGCAAACTTGAAGGGCACTGAGGTCGGCAAGAACAGCCCCTTGGAAATCGCCTACGGATCGCGCGCGACCATCAAGAACATGGGATACGGTGGTGGCCTCTTGCACTCCCACGTCCAGACATACCCCGAGGGCTCTAATCAGCAGCAGGTCACCTGCTACCACCACAAGGATGCCAACAACGACTGGTTCTTCTACCCTAACCGTGCGGACGCGGACTACGACGCCGAAGCCCCTCCCCGATTCATTGGCGACGGCGAGACGATCCGTCTCATCCACGCCCAGACCGGCCGCAACCTTCACTCCCACGAGATCGCTGCTCCTATGACCAAGTCCGATAAGGAAGTTTCCAGCTACGGCAACTTGACTATTGGTGACGACAAGGACCACTGGACTGTCGAGGTCGTTCGTGATGTCGCCTCCCGTGATCGCAGCAGAATCCGCACTCTGACGACGGCATTCCGCTTGAGACACCCGGTCCTTGGCTGCTACCTCCGCGCTGGTAACGTTAACCTGCCTCAGTGGGGTTTCAAGCAGATTGAGGTGACCTGCACCAAGACCAATAACCCCAGAGACTCGTACACCCACTGGAACGTCGAGGCACACTGGAACGAGAAGCGTAAGTCAAAGCTATGAATCCTGTCTATCTTGTTCAGCTTGCTAACTGGCATAGTTCCCCCTGGTGACCCCGGCTCTTACAAGTCCCCCTTCCTCCACGACTTCATCCACCTCAACGTTGCCATGATGACCTCCAACAACGCCCTTGTGCCCGACCCCGATAAGCAAGACGACCTGGCCTCGCAATGGTGGCAGTGGCCCATTCTCAATGTCGGTCTGCGCATGTGTGGTTGGGATGACAACATTGTCAAGTACTTCCTCCTCGGCAACCCTCTGGTCTACTGGGGCTCTACCGCCGGCCTAGGTGTTTTCGGGCTCGTCGTTGTCTGGTACTTGATCCGCTGGCAACGCGGCTACAACGACCTGAACTCGAAGGAGATTGACCAGATCCACTACGCCGGCCTGTACCCCGTAGCTGGCTGGTTCCTTCACTACCTCCCCTTCGTCGTCATGGCCCGTGTCACCTACGTTCACCACTACTACCCTGCGCTGTACTTCGCTATCCTTACTTTTGGCTTTTTGGCCGATTGGTTCCTCCGCAACAAGAACCAGGTCTTCCAGTATGGAGTGTACGGCATCCTGTACGCGACCATCATTGGTCTCTACATCCTCTTCAGCCCCATTTGCTTCGGCATGACGGGCAACAACAAGCAGTACAGCTACTTGAAGTGGTTCGACAGCTGGAGAATCTCTGACTAAATCTGACAAAGAGTCAAACCAAAGATTGTATTAGAACGATTCCTCCACGGGGAATCATGCACTTGAACGGCCGAGGTTTTTTACGATTCGGCTTTTCTACCCAACTCTTTCACTCTCTGTAAGGATATGGGCGATAAAAACGGTGGCAAGATGGGGGCCTTTCGAGCTTTGGGAAAAGCCAAAGTTGACGGGATAACAACTTCCGTACATAATGCAATATGAAATCTGTTCCTTGTTCCTACTATTTCCTTCTCTCATCGTGAGTTGACCAGCCCATTGACCATACATTATAATTACAAAAAAAAGTAGTAGTACAAAGGAGGTTGCTGAATGCGAAAGAAGGAAGAAGAAAAAAGCTGCTGCTAATGGTCGTTTGGGTATCACTATCCTTCTCGTGTATGCTTTTGTTTTTGGTTCGTTTCGCGGCACATCTAACAACAGCCGCCGGCGGAGCCCTTATTGGCGTCGCCCCCTATCCTCACTTGCTTATTGCCCCCCGCACTCGGCCCCTTGACGCCAGACCTCCGATCATTGAGGTCGTATTTCCCGGCCTGGATGTTATTGTATATCCTCTCGGCGACGCGCATAAACGCCTTTTCGACGTTCTCGCCGCTCTTTGCGCTCGTCTCGACGTACTCGAAGACGCCATTCCTCCTGGCCCACTCCTCGGCCTCGTCCTTTGTCACCTCGCGCTTGTTGTTGCCGTCCCCGTCCTCGCCCTGGGTGAGGTCGGCCTTGTTGCCGACGAGGATGACGACAATGTCGGGCTCGGCGATCTGGCGCAGGTCGTTGAGCCAGTCGGTCACGTGCTGGAAGGTTTGTTTCCGGCTGAGGTCGAAGACGAGGAGGGCGCCGCTGGCGCCGCGGAAGTAGGAGCGCGTGACGGACTTGTAAGTTTCCTGGCCGGCGGTGTCCCAGAGGGAGAGCTTCATGTGCTTCTGGGGCCCTTGGTCTGCGGCGGTGGCCGAAATACGCGGGGGTTCGGGGAGGCCGGCGGAGGATGCGCTGCCGTCCGGGTTCGTCTTTGGTTCCGGGGCCGGGGGAGGGGGTGGAAGAGTGTTGGGGGGGCCGACGGGGACGATGCGGGAGCCGAACTCGACGCCGATTGTCACGTCGTGGTGCGGGGAGAAGCGGCCTTCGCAGAGGCGGATGGTGAGGGAGGATTTGCCGCAGCCCGAGTCGCCGATGCAGACGAGTTTAGCGATGTAGTCCCATGGTGGAGACGACATGGCCCTTTGCGGTCTGTGACTTCGCGTGAGGTGGGAGGAGGTGGGAGGAGGAGGAGGAAAGATGTGCGTGTGAGCGAGGTTCGATGCAGAGGTCTGTGGTTTTTCGCTTCCAGGCAGATAGATAGCTGCGCCGTTT